GGGGCCTTAAGCTACAAGGTGTTGTACGGCCAAGCAAGGACATCAGCTTGTCAAGCCTGTCCTGCATGCCCTGGGGCAAAGAGGGTTCCTCCATCCTTACAGAGGATCAGTCTAAACGACTCAGGTGTAGATTGACTAGAAGTGCTACCAAGTGCAGCGGGGCTGCCAAATACTGCAGTCTTAGTTTGACAAACGCAGCCAACGGGCTTGCTGTGCACCTCATACAACCAAATTATTTGCTGTCCCAGTTGCATTATTCACGTGGTATCTAGACTACTACGAGATATATTAAACGTGTTACTATTTCTCCGAGTCTATAGTAACTACCACCAAAAGATATCAATTTCCTATCCATACTTTACTACTATCTACATGTTACAATTTAATATTTCAGTGCTATATTTCCTGTACTTCCATATAAAAAAGTTGGTGGCTCATTCAAAATGTCAAACTCTTCGAATACAACGAAATTTTCTTTGACGGTCTAATCTTCAAAATACCGAGTCGAAAACTTGAGCCTTTCGATTGTTTATAACTCGACACTTTGCAAATGGCGTAGATCATTTGAGTATTGTGGTTTATATGTTGATGATGACAATAAAGATGTCGACTGTTCCATCTTGAGTTCATTTTGCTGCATTTGTAGACCAGTCGAATAGGATTGTGAAAGCAAATCAACTAGTTGATCACGTAAATGATCTGTTTGAGTATATGCAAGTTTTGCACGTTCTTGGTTGCGAGTCCATAAGTCTGCAAGTAAAGCACTTACCTGCTCGGCCAAATCGTTAAGTAACGATCGTTGACGTGATGGCACTGTACTACGAGGTTGGGAGTCAGCAACAATTAATGCTCCTAACACTGTTCCATCACGTGCTCGAAATGGAATGCCCATAATAAATCGAAGATTTGGTGCTTCTGTCACGAATAAATTAGTCGACAATACACTATCTTGCCTTGCATCCAACACCGTCACAACTTCGATATTTTCATCATCTTGAACATCATTAAGATCATTCAGTGTAAAGGATACACGAAATCGTCGCATGATTTCAGCAGTTAATGAATGAGAGATTGGGACGTCATTTAACTCACGTGTCAAACCAAAGCTTGATTTAATAAATTCTCGACGTGCATCAACAAAACTTATAGTAGCAAGTGAACAATTTGAGTGCTGAGCTGCCTGTTTTGCCACTAGATCATATATGTGTTCTTTTCCAGAGTCCATAATACCATATTCAGCTAGACGAGTAGCCCGTTCTTCATCTCGAAAAGTTCCAATACGTGATTTCGCAAGAACTTTATCACAATGTATTTCTTCAATCACTTCTTCATCGTATTCCTGATCACCTTCTTCTAGTTCTTCAAGACCACGATATTCGTGCAAATTTAGATCTTGTAGTTCAAAATCCAATCCAACATTGGAATCATGAAATTCCATGCCATCTTCCTCTTCATCACCTTCATTTAACTCATTCATATCAAAGTCACAAATATCACCATCATCTTCTTCTTCACCATCTTCATTCTCAGCTTCACCAATACCACCCAAATCTACTTCTCGATCAGATTCTGGATCTGCCTCTGAATCATCAAAATCATATACCGATTTCCCCGTTAATCGAGATGGAAGACCTCCTTTAACTGACAAATCAAATTCCGAGTCGTGAAAATCCATAAGCGATAATTCTGAAAAGCGTTTGTAGAATTGATCAGTCTGGAGTACGACACTGCTTGGAGACGATGGTGATGATGAACATACTGAAGAAACTTCAATAGCATCAATTGAGTCGATCTCAACCACGACATCAGATTCCTTACTTCCCTCTACACTATTCGTAGTAGGCGCCTCAATATCACTGTCTTCTTTCCCTCCATTTTCATTCTCTTCGACATCATTTTCACTCTCCGAATCAGCACGACTATCACGTGAGCAACTTGCAGTCGTCGCATTGCTAGGTTTGTTGTAAAAGCTACCACTGAAGCTACTACTACTGATACTTAATGTCTTGGAGCTACTACTTTTTCCAAACATTCCAAGACCACGACTGCTATTTGAACTGCTCACCGTACTTCCCGACATACTTGACAATGTACGATCCGAAGTAGTTGATGCTAGGATACTACGTGAGTCATAATAATCCGAAGTGCTTTCTCCATTACTTGAATTCATAGATGGTGTACGATTGTACTCATCGTCATCTTCAGGATGTCGAGATGCAGTACTTCCACTTCCAATACGACGACGAAGTGCTTTAATACTGTTACTAGAGCTCTTTGGTGGTGGAGTTGCTCCTTGAATATGATTTTGTCCTTGTTTATCTTCTTCCATTCGATGATCACACTTACTACAAATTCGAAAAGGACATTTTCCTGCTTTCCCAAGTTTAATCTGGTGAATTTCCGAACATTTCGAGCATGCAACGTCACCACAAAGACGACAATGATGTTTTCTTTTCGCCATGGAAAATTTGTTGTCACATACACAACATTTTTTTCTAGCTTTGACCCAATTCTCAGACGTCAAGTATGGTGATTCACGGAGTCTTAAGACTAACAGAGCTGTCGAAAGGTGCTGAAATGCTGTTAAGTATGATAACATATTCATCCTGCGTGTTGTAGTCACACCACTGCCATCGTAACAGCTAAATTTAATCAATACTTCCAATGATTTGTCTCCAGCAAGCGATGATGCTACAGGGTACGCAACGATACCAGAAAATTGAACCAGTGCACGTGTTGTCATGGCAAATGGTGCTACAGGTGGCGTTGTTACTGTTGTTTCGGATGATGAGACAATAGGTCGACAATACCGTGTGATTGCTGGGTCTTCAATTGAATGATGTGATATGATTCCAATTCGTTGATCATCAAAATCTTGAGCTAAATGGTGTACCATTGGACCACGAAGATGTGCACGACGGATCGTTGCATACTCAGCTAAACACATGGTAAGTCCCAATTCTTCTGCACTTGCACTACGTCGATGACCTTTACGTTTGTATAGACGTGCTGCTTGACGTTCACGATGTCGATTCTTCCCACCAAATTTAAGTGAATTTGATGCTGAACTAGCATTTAAGGATGAACCAGAATTCGTACGAGGTGGACGTCCTTTAATGGATACATATTTCACAGCGTATTGTTCTGTTTCGGATCCACTTTGAGAATGAGAACGGGAGCTGGTGGATGAAGTGGACGATGTACGATCGACACATCCACTTAAGAGACTGCCAAAACTTGTAAAGACGTCGGCTAGTTGAACACGTTCTTCAAAAAGTGCTGCTTGAACGTTTTGAAACGTATCACGCTTCGCAGATGCCATTAGACGCATAAAATCATCGAGTGTAGCTCGCACTCGTGTTGTAGCGAGCATTGTGTGCATGTGATATGGCAGCTGTGTCTGGTCCGCTGGCGTCATGCTGGATACACGATCCATCGAATCAGCGCGCAGTTCATACACCTTTAGTGGACCACGGGCAGTAACAAATTGCCACTTGTCAGCATCTGCGATAGCATCCACTAGCAATGCAGCAGCGTTAGCGCGTGCATCTGATAACAGTGCATCTTGTTGTTCTTCACTAAAATTTAAATACGCATCGGGTTTGACGTCGTCCACTGTACCGGCGACTAAATTGGAGCGGCCGCTATTACGAGTCCATTGCTGTGAATCCTGTGCATTTGCAGCGGATGGCGTCGTAGATGATGTGTCGCTGGTGCGTGAAGTGGTTGTTGATGTCTTGTTCTGCTGATTACGTGGGCGGTATAACGACCCATAGTTGACCATCGCGGATAGGCGTATCCACTAAGTGGACGTGTGCTTAAACCTGAAAGTTACCTTTAGCACCTAATGTAGTAGATAATCGCGACACAATCTGTGGCGGGATGGTAAATGGGGAGAATTGTTCCTTAGTCTCTATGTGAAGTCTCTCACGCCGAACTTGCTCGAGTCGGAAACTGAGCGCCAGCGCGACGGTGAGGGGAGGGATTATAGCGGTCGAGTAACTTAAAGTTTGTATTGTGGGAAAGGCTTGTCAACGTTATTGCAAACGACTACAATATTAATTGAGCAAATACAGTTCATGATTTACATAAAAAAAACAAAGCGTATTGACCCATTTTTTGGCGCAAACGGGGAGGGGGATTTAACCCTATTATAGTATCATAAGGACAATAGCACTGAATGCGGTACACCAATTAATGAACTGAGAATACTAGGAATTTACCTGATTGATGTTCCATCCATACGATTTGGATAAGCGTTTTGGTACTCTAATCTCTTGACTCACTACCGCAGCGTATGTGTGGATAGAGTGCAGCATGCTGGCACCTATAAAACAGCTGCAACTTCGCAGCAATCGTATAGCTTTGATCGCCATATAATCCAATTTAGCAGCAATCGTATAGCTTTGATATCCATATTATCCAATGTATAGATACATATATATATATATATATATTAATCAGAACCTCGTGAAGTTGTTCATACATCCGAAAAGGTAGAATATTTTTTTGCTGAATATTACCCAAAAACTTACAGATCGACCTAAATATTACAATGTAGCGTTCGCTACCAGCTGGTCTACTGATTGACCGAATTCGGGCTTAGGGCTTTCGTCCTTTCTTGGTTGGACAGCGACCTCGTCACTCGTGGTTCATGAGGCTTATTTTCTTACCTGACGACAGGACTCGTCTCGTCAGAAAAGTTCTTAAGTTCTTACTGAATTTGTATTATGAAAGGGATAGGGCTGTTTCAAAAAAATCAATTTAAAGTTATTATATTCAAAGTACGAGAAAGCAATTGATATTGAATTTTTCCATATATACATTAATAAAAAACTTCAATATATTTCGTACTGTAGAATATATGAATATCAGTGGCTCTTCGTCCTAGCGAAAGGCTTTCTACAACACATGACGTGTGGCAAATATTAATATTAAGTTTGGGTTGAAGATTTTGTACTCAACCCTTAGCAGATCTAGAAGAAAATTAAAACTTCTATGGCACTCAAGCCTCAAGTTTCGATTTCTAAGAAATACTCTTTGGTCCTACGTACGGATTGACAATGCCGATCATAATGAAAGGGATGTGTGATGGGTTGAGGGTGGACCACCCCATACAATAAACGTGTAGCACTTCCCTTACATGTATAGTGTTTTAAAGAGGCTGGTAATCATCACCTTGGCGGTAAATGGAGCCTATCCATATTGTTTAAAGGAATAAATTCGAAGTCATCTGGTCATTTCTCTATTTCATTGTCGTTGTAGTTGTAGTAAAGTCACGCAGTTCTTGATGATTATGTTTTGCTTCTGCAGATCTCTCGATATACGGCTATTCGTTTGAGAACCAGCAATGGAAAATGATCCGCACACGAATGATGTATGCAGTTTTCAAATATTTTAGATAACAAATAATCATCTCGTTACAATTTACTGCAAGCACCATCTTAATGAAAAGCCTAGAGGCAGTATCAGTAAGCAAGAGACGAGTGTTGCTAAAGAGATTGAACGTATCCGCTATGCGAGCAAAATATATGAGGGTGAAAGTCAGGCATGTGGTATGTTTAGTACTTATTACTAATGTCATGTAAAGTAGAGTCTATAATAGTACCATCAAGTAGTATTTTCTGTATATGAACAGGACTTTTTGCATTATCTGAATGGTTTCACTTTATCCAAAAATTCTCATCCGTCTCTCTCTGATGTGTAGATATAACGTTTGACAAGCTCGTTACCTACCGTACCTTTAATATGATGAACACGAGGGGAGCAAAGCTTATCTTTACGTATCATGTTCAGCCTAATGTAGTAAAACGAATTTGGGAGGATTGGAGTATGTGTCCTACGGACGACCACTGTCGGTATATTTGATGTCGCGGACTCTCTCTGTGCAAGGCTCAATGGGACCCCGCTGCAGTTGGTAGCACTTATTAGAAGCTGACGCCGCAGTCTTATTGAGACTCGGGATGCGCTCTTTTAGGGACGCATCTCAGGCGATACGAAACATACGACTTGGACAGGTGGCCCTAAATAAACAAATGGATCAGCAATATATATCGCATGTTGGAACGTAACAGGGGAAACTCTCGCCATAAGCTTTCGCATCCTCGACTAGCTAGCCGGCTCTACTTGTAGATAAAGTTTTGATCTTCTTTCTGCCTTGTCGCTTGCATACACTTACGCATATTTTACTTCACGACATCTCGGCATTGCAGTCTATAAAGACCGCAAAAGATTTATGGCTCACCTCGCAGCGGCTACGGACGCTGTCACTGAACCAGCAGTAGGGCTTGCCTTTCATTAGGAGATCTGTACTTTACCGCGAATTCTTGGCGATTTCAGGTCAAGGGACTCGGCACCCAATTGGATACATAAACAGCAGATTCTCAGATCATTGGTCAAATGGTACGTTTTCATTGCGTGGTAAAGAAAATTTTCAGAAGTAAACGGCATTTTTAACTCCTTGAGATTGTTATGAAGATATTCAAGCGTTTTTTTACATGCTTCACACCCTCTGCAGTGATGGTGAATCTTTGCGTCCCCATGAGGTGGTCAATAAGTGAATTGTGTCATGGGGGGGGATTTGAGTGTCGATACTGATTGAGCTGTTGATATCAGTCTGGCTACACTTCATAGCAAATGTCATTATTTCTTTGAAAGAATTTGAGTATTATGCATCAATTGCGAGACGCGATGACTGCAAGCCGAGAAAAACAGACGCAACATGCAGGTGCCAAAGATGGACGATCAATATATAAATGCTATGGAGCTTAGATAGTCTTTTCTTGGTGTAGTCCCCAAGACGAAACTTCGTTCTTGCTATATCAGCCTTCTACTGACGTTGCTCAAGTAGTTTAGTTGTAATATTAAGCCTTTTTGTGGGTATTAGCATATCATTTGTAATATTTGTGGTCCTATCAAGCCGTCGTTCTCCCGAGCCACCCGGGCATGCTCAAGATAAAGCTAGCTCTTTGTATACTCTTGCCCACCGGTTCTGCTAGATTAGTAAGGCGAACCCTCATTTTATGTAACAACTTGTGGGTTGGCGTTTTGCCAGAAGTAAATCTAGAATTTAGTGAAGTGGAGGGAAGACAATTACCTTAAGAGTGCTTGGAAGCTGAAAATTTCACCGCAAAGTAGTTTCATTGCATGCCATTCAAAACATAATGTGCCATCACATCTTTCGGGTAGACAGCAATTTCATGCAGCGCAATGAAGACTAGTCTTGTTCCAAGTTGATGCTTGTCAGCAGCAGTATAAGTAAGACCAAATGTACGAGCATGAATGAATTCACCATAAATCGGAATTGGGTTGAGTGCCAGTTTCTGCGCTGACGCTCTTTTGAATTTGCAATGTCAAGCATCTAGCAAAATTCGTTGAACACTAACTTCTTTGATCTGGCATGAAAAATCTAGTCCTCCACTGACGATCAAATATAGGCATATCAGTGTTGGCGCTGTCATCATGTTGCAATACCGTATCATGAATAGAACTAATTGAGGTGGCTGCTGCTGATTCAACCATAAGTAATACACTGGATGAATTGTGACACGTGAGGTTACGGAAACACACACGATTTGAAGTTGGCAAACGTGATATGCTCGCGGTCTAGGTGCCAAAACTACCCACATGGGTGCTAGTAGGTCGGACCACGATCCAACAAGCGACTTTTGCTGATTTCGGTCAGCCCTAGAGTGGTTTTTGATATAGCAGAACCTACAAGTTGATGGCTCACATAGCCTTGCCGTTGCTTTGCTGGTGAGGGCAGTTGTAGAAATCGAAACGGTCACCTTTTATAAGCTTGAGTCTATCACTCAGTGCTGATATTTGACATTAAGATGGATAGAACTCACGCTGCTGTACTGAGAGTCGGTCGCTATGATGGAAGGAACTTGGATAATTTTTCGTTGTGTCCGTAAAAAATCGTTAATTGTTACAGGATTGCCTTGGTCGTATATTGAGACCTTCACGCCTTATTTGTTCTATAAAATGGTTGCACATTGCATTTTTGTGGACATTTAGACGAAAAACAATTTTATCGACAAGCTTAACAACTTGGCTGAGGCTTTGGGACGTTCTTTACTGGTTCTTCATGACGCTTGTTGAGGTTTGAGTTTACGACTATTCATGGGAAGAACATCACACAAGAAAACGATAAAGTGAGTAGATTCAAAGCTGGAGGCCTGGTCAGTACTTCATTTGGCTAGTTACAGAACTTGTCACTTGTCAAGAAGCTGATACAAATCGGATAAAAGACGGAATAAGCAGATACGTATCTCATTCATGATTAAGTAGCAGTATTTGACTACCGGGTGATGATAATATATATAGTATACGCGCTGCATTGGCTGCTGTAAGCCGGGATTTATGATCGAGAACAGAAGAATCAACCCTACACCCGTATCAAAGAGGTTGAATTGATGTTACACCGCAGGAAATGAGGAGTACAATATAACTTTAGAATCCCCACAAGAGGTGTATGAGGTATACATGGTTCAAGACTGAGACATTGAACGTCTAAGTGCATAACTCTCGGCAGTCCGCTCATGATGCAGGCGGGTGTATGTTCTCCGATGTGCCATTACCTTTGCGCTTCGCTTGTTGGTTTGACAAACTGCAGATGCGCTTAATTGTAAAAACGGGTTGTATCAGTGAAATTTTCGCCTTGATTTTAAGCATTATTCTCGCACATTTTTCCATATTTTGACCGTGAAAAAAACAGAAATTATTATGAATCTGAAGGTCACAGACCCACACCCGATCACTGCGAACTCTATAAAACTTGTTTGCTCAAACTACACGTGGTTATGTGTCAAGCGCTGACATGTCAAGGATGAAATTATTGCGCAAAAAATCGGTCAAAATATTTATATATATAGTTGTGTTGGTGATATCAAAAGGTGGTGACTTGATCCTGCATCATCCGAATATACATCTAAAAATGTCTTTCTTAAGGCAGGGTCACCAGAACAATTACGCTAGTATTTGAGGCCATGCAAAAATGTGACGGATCGTATCGTTACAGCAAGTGCTTTTAGCTTAGATGAATTGGAATGAGCATGTATCACAACGAAAAAAACTTATTGAGTTGTTGATCCAACCAACAGTCGGAGGGGGGGTTGCTTTAAAATGGAAATAAGTCCACCATATCTCACCCGTCTGGTCAAAAACGCTCTGAAATGAACGTTAAAAGCAGAGTAAGTCAGACGCCCAGTCTTTATCCGAATTAATATCAGTTATTTATTGGCATTGTTAAACCGTGAGATGTCCTGAAATTTTTATGAGCGTTGTGCAGTTGCGTACGACGCGCGCTGGTCAGAACAGCAGACAGAACGTGGAGGGATTGAAAACCCAATTACAGATATTTCTTGCGACAGGAACACTGGCAAAAGTGCCGAGACTTATGTCGAGTGTTCAATCAAATATTTCAAATTTTGAAAGCTTAGATGATTGACAAGATCTGGGCGTGGTTAGGGTCACAAAATCATTTAAGAGTTATGGCGTACTCAGAACGCAATGAGCCATGGGCTCGACTAGCAGTCTAAATTGCTAGGTGCCATGCACTTATCTCTTGGTAGAGCATTTGCGAGACATGAACCCACCTCTACCTTGTTGTAGATGCACTGGTGCAGGCACAATACTGCGTTAGCTTTAGTGCTAAATGTAAAACTGGTTAAAGCCAGGTGCCTCTAACACAGCTCGCAAGGCAGAAGAAGCGATGAGTCAAAGATTCAAGATACGGATGAATTGCGGGTTTTCACAGCGCGGTTTCCCAATTGCATTTTAACAAGACGCAAACGGACAAATTTATGTCTTGGTCTGATAAATGTATCACTGATCAGATGGCAAGGTGTAACTGTGAGCTATCGGCTAGCCGCTGGGGCTGATCAGCGCCTGTAATGCGGTCAGGTCTTGAGCTTAGAAAGGCAACACTTTATTTGTTCCTTCTGTATCAATCTCTCCGTAGGGTCGGCCTGCGTTGCGAAGAAGCAAGGCTCTACAAAAGGGTGATAAAAAGGATCACCCACTCGTAAGTGGAGTGACCGTAGTAGTCATAGGTGCTGTATGCGTCCTTCCTATTCTTTAAGCAAAGTCCCTCTATTGCTCAAGATAATGTGCCAAAATCTTCATAGAGGCGAAATTGACGAAATGGTGCGGCTGGAACCAGTGAGTTAGCCATTCGTCATGGGTGAATCTGTTATTGCGGGCATTCACAGAGCCCTCAATGGATATATGTGACTTAGTATGAGATAAATTCTTTATGTTAATGTTAATGCGATGCTACAGCATGATGATGAGAGACCTACCGCACATGATTCACCCCGGATCGAGCAGTGCATCATAAATTTGGCTAATTTACGAAATGAAATATTACTTCACACGGTCTTACCCCTTTTCTAGCGGGCAGTCTGACGTATTCACCGTTTTCAATTATGTGAGACGTGGAGCAAATCTGGTGGGAAAACGCAATTATTTCGACTCGGCTTTGAATTTCGATTTCCGAAAAATTAATGGCAAGCGGCGCACGTTCCTATAAGTGGCTTCAATATCGGCTAAACCGCCGATTCCACGTAAGTTGTACTAAAACAACAGCATGATCGGCCACACTTCGAGCAATGCTCTTGCTCATCACCTATTTGATGGTTATCATAAACTGAGTGATAAAATGCCGCGATGGGGACTCCGAGCAAGGTGCTCTGGAAGTGGCAGATTATGCCGAAAGTACTTCCTTTTGCGCCGGTGCTGTTCAATCGTCTAGCGACAAGCCTATTTAGGCCACATCGTAGATATGGTAAGCATTTGAAGGCGATCTTTTCGTCCTCAGTCATGCACTCCATGAAAAGTCGGATGTGGAAAATCACAGTAAACTTTTAGCAGCGGGGTAACAGTGTATGCGCTTGGGTAATTTAGTCACCAAAACAGACAATGTGTTCCCGGAGAATACATCGTTCCTTCTCTGGGTTGCTTACTATGAACGCAAACAGAATATGCTTACTAAATGTGCGAGGATAATGGTCATTGCATATGGAGCAGCGCCTCTGTTTTAAAAATTTATGAGAAAGTGACTTTATCATACCAGCTACTTGCACAGTTAACGTGTGAGGTATACATTTACTTACTAATTTTCTTGAAACGAAAAAATATGGCGATGAGATGCGGCGAAAAAGGCGATCATAAAGTTCGTAAACAATCTACATGCGTGATTTTTTCTGGCTCTTTTAAATCAATTTCAGCCGTTCAACGTCGCCTGTTATGACAACGTATTGCCAAAAATGATGACAATGAGCAGAAACGCGTGTTCGTATTTAAGTTTTACTAACTGGAAGCTGCTGAGAGAAACTGCCTCGCTAATGTCAAGGGGCTACCTTCAATTTAATAGGTTCTCGTTGAATTCAGGGTGTGCCTACTTGTGTTAATTTCGGTTGTGATCTATACCTATTGTGCGTCCTTACGCGTAGCGATGTCTTTACCGCGACTTTCACAGATGGTCATTCATTTTGCCGAGTATAGCAACAATTTTGGGAGCTCAGAAACCGCTTTATCCAGGCGCGCGGTCACATGTTCACATCGCTATACCTTGTACCAATGCTTGCCAAGTTGTAGCATTAGTTCACATGATGCCCAGCGTGTAGTTTTGCCTTGCAGTGAGGACCTTGAATGCACAATGCTGCTCGAGGCACACAATACCCATCTAAGTGGCTATTTAAAAAAATCTACTCGGTGATCGTTATTTTGTTGTTGTTCAACATGTATAAGTGGGAAGCACATATGTGCAAACGTGCAAATAGTGCGTAATGTGCTGGAAAAGTAGATAAAACACAAAGTTGTGTCAATGAGCAAGATTGCGTCACTAGCGGCGACACTTTTGGTCAGTCTATAAAATTGAGGCAACCATATGTATGAAATCTAAAAGACGCGCTCATTTATTCAGGTTTGTTGCCATCTCGAACTGCCTAAGCACAATTGCTCGTCTTGCTGTTGTCATGGATAGTGTGACCGGTGAGGATACAATCAAGCTGTTTCTCGGCGAATGGTATTGCCAACATGGCTTGCCGACAGCCTTTTTTTCTGGCCAAAACCCTTGCTTCATAGCAAAATTTCGATAAATACTGTTGGAGGTGATCGGCAGATGTTATATATTTAAGCCGCTACTCGCACACAAACAGGGAGTGTGAGAGTCGCGTTTGGAACTTCTGCGTAGAGACCGCAGAGCAGAAAATAGTTACTTTCGCTCATCGGGTCTGTGCTAAATTATGCAGTACGTGTCTGAACGGGAACAACCTCACTTTATTTATTTGGTTTGGTGAACTCTCGTGTGTCTTAGACACCGTAGCGAAGCAGCTTCAGTTCTAGTTAATGATGCATCGTCGATCAAAATAGACTTGCTGACATCGGTTCGGCTATAACTCAGAACAAAATCGGTGAATTATCTAGTCTGAAATGAGAGTCAGTCGCCGGTCGCAAATCAAGAATAGCAGAAATGACACGTATAGGGTGAAGGATATTTATAAGACCCCACAGAGACTGCTAACACACCCACCAGTCTATGTGACCCCGCTGAAGCGATACCAAAACCGTGCACTTACGATCTAATCGGACATGAAAAGCTCTGTTACAGAGGGAACAATGGCTTCTGTAATATAATGTAACTGAGCGACCCGCTACTTTAACGAGACGCAGTTTTGAGCTGCTGGAGGTGCCTTAACTCATACACTTTGATAACAAAGCTGAAAAAAGATAATAAAATTCGGCTTACATCAGTCTTGTTGCCTTCAGAACCAATATAGCTCACAAAATCTAGTCACGGGAATTCTTACCTCCGCTGGCACTGTTATCGGCGGGTACATTACGTCCTTAGCCAACACAAAGTGAAGTGGAAAGTGACTTTCAGGTAGAAAGTTCTGGAATTTGATGATCCACACAAAGTTCCGGCGCAGCTGACGCTTACAACTAGGCGAACACTAGCCTTCATAATCTGTGAAAAATAGGCAGGGTTATATCGTCGTGGAGCGCTTGTTACTAGTGGTCGTGGGTCGATCTCGCGGTGAGTTTGATCCTCGATTGGTAACTGTTACAGTTGAGCGTGAAGCCAAGCGAGGCTGTAAGCAGCAAGAACTTGTAGTACTGATTATCTACTCGATGTCCACGTTCACATTTACAGATTGCAACGTCAAGCATAAAGTGACACTCTGAGCAGACTTTCACGTCGCTGAAGATGCCTTGTTGAGCATTAAAATACAATCCGATTGATGCTCAGCGACACTTCTGCCAACTTCTAATACCCAAGATACATATGTCATGGGCTGTACGGGTTTCTCCAACAGCTTATGCTCCGAGCGCGGAGCCTACCCGTAACTAGTGATGCAATGTGAATTTCTCAAAATCTACGCGCTTACTTCGCTCCAGCTGTGAGCTAAAGGGCAACACGCGTAGACGTGTAGGGGCTCCACACTTGAGAGACGAGTGACTTTGGCATGTTAATAATCATAACTACGACGTGATAGGTGCTGTTATTGGTGTCACTCTTGTACTTGCAGTAATCCAAGCTGCACTTCTTGAGCCATTTATTGATGTCAAGCTAGATGTCTGTGAGGATACCATGACGAATTGTCGAGACACTTATCGCCTCTAGAAAGAGAACGGAAACAGCCACTTGTGTATTGAGAGATAAGCGCTGTAAGCGCCTTCTCGTTGGTAAACGGTCAGGGCGTATATCGTCGAGTGACAAGGGATGTATTCGGTCGACACTGAGAGATCCACTTGGCCCTATTCATCTACGGACACCTTGGCTTTCTCATACAGAACCTACTATCGCTTTTGTTGAAAAAGACACGGCAAAACGCGAAGAATGAAGCGAAAGTGTAGGTGCAGTGGTCGCTCGCTGAGGAGCCATTTTAAAGTGAGAACCGCAGTGTGGTCCCTGACATGATTGGGATGATGTAATGGGGAAAGTACCACACTCATACGTGCTAAAGCATGACATTTGGCCCAATTGTATGAACACCCAGAGTGATTCATGGTGAGGGAATATAGGTCTTCCTGGTAATTACGAGCTTCAAAACGAGGAGATTACGATGCACGTGAGCAGCTTGCCGCACGTAAGAAAAATGAGAGATTGATTTTGGAAACGGTGAGACGTATATTAAGTGTTTGTCTTGATTAACTACACAAAGCAAAGGGAGCCACCAGTTCTAGTCATCCCAGTTCCCGTTAGTCTCGCTCCTGATAGGATTGCTCGGAATCATTAATTGTAACGCGGACTTTGAGAGGTGAACTTCCCATGTGCTAAGTATACAGCAGCTGGGTTGCCGTTCACCTGACCATGTAATATAATTTGGCGTCCGCGCCAACGATTTTGGTCATCAGAAGCAGCGTGAGTCATTTGCCAATAATCTATCTGATGCAGATAGATGTGACCAAGCGAGAATCTTCGTTCTTAGCATCAAGCCCGTCTTGTCATGTGCACGCAAAATAGCGTCTACAACATCATTTCTTGCGCGTTTGCAAGATTGGGTATCAGAACCAGGTCGATATTGTACCAAATACCCAGCTCGGGGTCACCCGTGCGGATCCATTGTCATCGAAGGATCCGTGAAGATCGCTGGTCCGCCCCCGGTACCCAGTTTCGTCGGATGTGATCAATGACGGACATATTCCTGACGGATGATAATCCCAGCTTCTTCGTACCTTTTTGGATATTCCCATCAATATGAACTCGGTGATTCCACCACCGTGATAGGATCAACTCCTCAGGCTTCGCTGTCGACCGACCCGGTCTCCGCAAAGTGACAACCACGAAAGTAAAACACATGTGTGTCACATAGACATGAACAACTCATGCTTTTCTCAATAGAGATAGACAAGAAAAATACATCGGAATTGTCAAAAGCCACTATTTATCCGCTAGAATATAGTTTACGACTAAAGATCTGTTTCACATTGTTAATTGGTTGAAAAAATTGTTTTTAGATAATATTAACTCAGCAAACCGTTATGTGGACAGGTCTAGTGCTTGGTTTAAACGGCGCAGGCAAGACGCTTTTGCTCCGACAACTCATCGCACAAAATTTAAAGAAGCAAAAGACTATAATGCAGCGGATAATAAAATTTATGATGAGTAGTCATGACAAAGAGGACGAGTACAAGGACTTTCCATGTCTCATTAATTCTAATACACAACCGAGCATAGGTGTCGAACATTGGTCATTGAAGCTTAAGAAGAACAAGTGTATGCTACGAGAAGTTGGTGGTCAATTAGTATCAATGTGGCCAGTGTATTTTGAATCTTGTCACTTTTGGTTCTTTCTTATTGATGCGAGCAATCCGACACAATTAGCAGACGCTGCAGTCGAATTTTACTCGATTTTAAATGTAGATGAAATGAGACACAAACCCAAGTTATTAGTGATCAATCATATTGACGCAAGCTCTTTAGTAAATGACGAAGTTCTACAGACACATTTGTGCTTAGATCGTCTTGTAATTGATCAGGACTATGGTCCAATACAAATCATAAAAGTCAGCGCTTTAACTGGCGAAAATGTGGGGAACATTTTCAAGTGGCTTGATCATCTTGATCATAATTCTAGTAAGGGATTTTGTGAAATATGCCGGACATTACTACGGCCTAATATAATACGAGTGTACCCTGTTACCAAGTAGTATCATTGTCATGGTCTTGTCCTTAATTTCGTTCGCCTTCGTAACAGTATGGAAACTCGTCATTTTGTTTGACATTTACGTGGTTACTCGTTTCAATACCTTGAAATACGCGAAAATCCATCATATCGCGTTTAATGTTTCCAATTGTGATATAAGCGCAATAAATACCAAGTACTAGACTGCTAATGATTGTCAAGTAACACATCAAATAGTCACATTTTCCTTGAAATGTATTTGTAGCAATTGGGTGAAGACGAAGATAACACAAACATGGCATAATCATACACGAGACGGAGATTGCTGTTGACCCGATTAGACTGATGATGTCGTTAAAAGATGCTTGAAATGTGATGGCAAGAAAAGCTTGCAACCAAACTGTGATCGCACGAATAAATGAACTGTTCACCCGATCGGAAATTGTATAGGTCTCTTCAACAAATGTGTGCTTGTCACTAGCATTCGAAGATGGCGACATTACTTGGACGTACGGAGCATTATCACCATACAAAAGTTCTTCTTCGAAATCATGCGACGCTGTCGGCTTGAGTGTATCCTCGGTAGCTACAATATTTGCAGAAATTGATAGACTTGATCTGGACGAATTATCTGCAAAACGTTGGTTTACAACTTGTTGTAGTACTTCGTGGTCTATATCTTTGCCGAGAATATAGCGCTCCAGATCGTACATTGTAGGATTGAGTAGCAATGGAAAGGAGATTATAATGTGAGCAAGCAGAAGAGCTGAAGCCACTTTTCGTGCCGGACTTTCTTTCGGTAATTGGTCTAGTAGAGTAGCTGGAGCCATACAGCCGAATTGATGGTATGTCACAATTCCAATGAGCATGTATATTAAAGTGATAAAAAGCAACGTAAGCGACACGAGATTCGCCAAGCGTGCTGGATTTGCATGCTGCCGTTGAATAGATGGGACAATAATTGCTGTGCCCGTAGCAAAAAGAATTGTACCAAATGTCGGAATTACATTGTGAGCTTGAATGTAAGTCTCTCGTGGTGTCGAATGGATACTTTGGAGACTAGAAAGGATGCAAATGGTATCAGCTAAGACAGCCATTAGACCACCCATGCAGGCTAATGGAGCTGCAGCTTTTAGTGTTGGAATCATTAAAATAGGTAGCACGACGAGACTAATGACAATGATCCATTGTGTTGGAACCCATTCTTCATATGAAGATCCTGCAAAAATACATGGCAGAAGAATTGTTCCACCAAAAATGAAGAACGCAATTGGACTTAAAAAGCATACACCCCACTCGGAGAGCACGACAATGAAACGTCCAATTTCTCCAAATGCATAGTAACTCAGATCACTGAAAGTTCGTACATGTATTGGTACGACCATAAATGATTTACTCATTGCAACGCTACGTAAACAAAAACATAGTTGTTAGTATCTTTGTGTGTGAGATATCTTTTGAAAGATATTGTCGAACCTTGCGTGAAGATTACATGCCGAGATAAAATATACACCTAATGTAGCTAATATGGGACCTGCAGCTGCAAAGATGAAGCCAAAACTCATGGATCCAACGCTGAAAGTCGCACAGAAAAGCAATGCGACGCACAAAATGTCGTCGCTTCTCGACATGAGCTTTATAATTGAGCTCTATTCTGAATATCAAACGATCTTTTAAGATATACTGTCGGCTTTATTTAAAAGTCATCAAATCGTAATTCGCACCTAGGCAGATAATCATCATACGAAACAAATCAGGGGTTATTTAGCTCAATACTGAGCTTTTAGCTAGCATCATGAATTTGTTATTGATACGCTGGTCATTACAATCTTCATTTGTATGATTTTGAATAATTTAAATACGAACTCATTGATAATATATTATAGTATTTCGCTGATGGATATTTTGATGATTAATAAATGTTTCATTTGGTCATTCATTGCATCTTCCACTCAACATCCCATCTGCGCATTACATGTAACAACGATATCTAAGTGATTGTATCATACGAACTGACGGCTGTAATTACAGGCTGCATATTTATTTTGGCCATCATCACACATGATCGCCATCTCGCAACGCCACTTCGTCCCTTTCGACCTCACTATTGCATCGTTATCGTCAATTTGTCGAAAGGACAATCTTTTTAATAATTGAATGTTTTGTTTTCAACAGAACAATCTTGTCGTTTATTGAATTTTTTAGTGGTTGAGTGCACTTTAGGGTCGTACACACATTCGGGAATGTTTGTTATTCCATAACCCAACGAGCTCAGTGTACGACAATTGCACGACATTTTATTTTAAAGTCAGCCGTTGCTTCAAAAAGCACAGATGTTTTATACGGTAGAGCTATCCCGTGAACATAAACAGGCTAATTTTGAGGGTGAGGAGTACGACCCTTAATGATAAGATTATCTTACTGGGACTACGTTCGTCGATGTAGTTTTCGATAACAAGGCACTCTCAACATGTAATTTACGAGCTGGGAAACGTATAAACCGCCAAAATATTTCGATACATTGGTGTTGGTGGACGCATATGAAGCGGGTCACTTAATCTGAGCGTTTGCAAATGGATGTGATCCTGTAGATTAGATGTATATCTTTTATGGTAAAAATGACTGCTAAGCTTAATTAAAGCTTTATCTTTTCCGCCATTTCTCCTCGACTTCTAGAATCTAGGAAAGTGCAAGATTCAATGGGACCAGTATTCATATCTGACAGTAGCAACGACCCCAATATATTTGCTTCCATAAGCTCAGTAATTACGATTTCATATTTCATACATTTGAAAAGTGCGCTAATCGTTGGTCGTCACTGAAAACTACGTTTGCCTAACGAGAAAAACATCAGAAGATAATTCATGTAAATATTCGTTTGAGTCTTGCCCCAAATGTGATTTGGACGATGTCATTGGCGAACGACCAAGAACACATTACATCCGGACGTTGAGGCTTTTTAGCTCCTTCGTAGTCGTTCGTGGAGGGATGGGACCAATATATGCAGATGGATAGAACGATCTATTTTTGAGGAAGCATAACATTCAACATATTTGTGTTTGGCCTTAAAACTTTGCACCCACATCATTAGCAATGTTAGGTCTACGATTCTGTCAGTTAATTTTTTATAAGTGGAGCACTGACGAACGAGAAACACAAGCCGTTATATTCAAGAAATTGTAATAATTGCATTAAAATACAATGTGTGGAAGCACACCGAATTCGAACTAATAGGTCAACCTTTTTGTATACAAAATCAATGTTACCGACCAACCGCGAGCACGATGAAGTAAAATTTCCATCTCCGATTGGGGCAGACCACATACTAAAGTCAAGTGATTTAAATTAAGGAATACGACCGACACTGTTAAGAATGACGTCGAAAGGCGGTCGCAAAAACAAGGTTGATTTAGTCAAAATCAAGCCTATTTCTCAAAGCCCTGTCGCTAATCCATAAGGCAGAGTCACCGACCGACCATCTTCTGAGCAGCATGAAAAGTATACAAAATATAAGAGAAAACATGTTGAATAAAGCGACCGACCACTTTGTCTATGCGCATTTTTTTATAACCGTCTGGGAATTCGAGCGACTTCGATCAGAATGAACCTCGGAACTTTGTTAGCCGACCACCATTTCTCATTGTGCGCTTAAACATCCATCTGGACGCGTGGTCACTCACATCACACTTTGAAAAAGTCGATACTCAAGACACTTTACACAATGATTCCATCATTGACGTCGCCATCAACTATGTCATCTGTACGCGTGCTCAGCCACAAGCGGCGTCGTAATGGCGACTTTGCCTTACCAAAGCCTGAAGATGAATACAAAACTAGCCAAAGTTTGACTGAAAGTTCTTGCACCACATCAGGCGAGAGTTCGAGTGAAGAAAGCGATAGCTGCTACGAAAGTGAGGATAATTTTGAAGAAGAAGTGACACAATTAGCTGCCAAGCGGCGACGTCGCGCAGACTTAGATGAACTACAAAAGTCAGTTCGTCTCATGGAAGCACATGTCGTTGATGCATCAGCGCAATTGAAGGATCTTGCGGCACTTGTAGCAGTTGTCGTGGCACAACGCCAGCAGCACACATAGACTTTTGCTTCTGACTGATTGTACATAGTTTATTATGATTGCGTTTAGCCTATTGCTACAGTGCGATCGTTGGCATCCGTGCCGAATTTATAATAAAGAAATTACTTTAAACAAACTCTTAGCTTACTATGTTGGTTGAGGTCAAAAGATGTAGAGATCTAAAGCAAATACTTAGTACATTATAACTGCATTGCTACGAGTAAGTGAACGGCATCAATCAACATGACTGTCGATTCGTCATATGCCCAACGACCACTACGCTTCTTGCATTGTCTCGTCTGTAGCGGTCGGAATCGTCTCGTGCTTTTATCTTGATTTTTTTATTTGTGATTACAGGAAGGAGTACGGTCGGTCGGGTAAAAGAGCTGGCGTTTGTTCTGTGCTGTTCGACGCGAGGCCGCAATCATTAGGATACAGCTCAATGTTTTGTTTCTGAAGCAATTATAGCATACCGTATAAACCTATCATACATACAACGACACATTTCTTTTGGAGTAGTATCCTTTGTATTTAATCTCGCACTGAATCGCAATTATTTAACTAGTGTAGCTTAAAACATTGTAATGCAGCCTGCACGCGAGCTCAACGATATAAGGAGGATCTGCTCATTCGAAAATTTCAAAAGATAAAAATACTATAATCTCCGCAAAATTCTTAAATGGGACAACAAAAATAACTAGAAAACATCAATTACACGGTGTTGTGCCACACATAATATCGTAGATGATTGTGTGTATGTAAGTGCTAGGATGCTGATTTATGCTAAAATCGAGAGAAAAGAATCGAAGACACACTCGCATCAAAGCTTTTAACGGTATGTGAATGTACGAGGAAAAGATAAGATCCAACACTTTTCGTTTGCGCCATAACAATCGACCTTGCGAGTACGTGGTACTTACTACGTTAATCATCACCTTTATGATCTAGCATGAATGTGTAACATGCTGCACGAGCAATCAAATAGTCCAATTTCAACATTCCGAAAGTCCATAATTGCTGGTAGCATTATATTGTTCATATAAACAGCAAAAGAAAGCGCCAGTCAAGATATACCACTAGACCACAAACGACAATGACATGGTATTTGAGTATCTTTGTAGACACTGCGATTCCTGTATATATTACCCTCAGCGAAGGACTGCAAACGTTACGCCCAATTTTGACTTAGCTCTCGGCTATAGTAACCATTTTCGTGCCCGTGACTAATCGGCTACCACTTCACCGAATTGTAATGAGCTTGGATTAGCCAGTAGGCCCTACAAGTGCGAGCCAAGCAATATTAAACCAGAATGAACAAGGAGCTGTAGCGCATTTGCAGCCTGCTAGTAACAAACATGTTGTTGCTGGTACAGCAGGGTGAGCACCTGAACCATGTGCGCTTACACCTCACATGATGTGTGAGGTAGAAAACTATTAGACTGCATAAGCTTCACATTGCGCTTCAGTGTAATCGTAAGTTATGTTTAAGTACCTGATTTTGGGTATTTACGAAGATGTTAGACCTCTAAAGAGCAGGATTTCATGTCAAACGTGATGTCTCGAGCAAGAAAATGCGTACGTGCAGCTAAGATTAACCGCACGTCAGAAATAGCGAAATGCATATGACAAGCGGTAGTGATACGTTTGTCCGTGTTGTAATTTGTTGCACGTTAAAAATAGCAGGGCTATCTTGACGCTGAACTACAGTAGAGACTCTCGTGCACGAGTCTAGCAACTGTATATTTGTTGTGCAATTTCTAAGGCTCAAGTTTTCCACTGGTAAAATTCTCAAAGGTTATGTTTAAGCTTCATACAGAGCTCAGAGAATTAGGCAGCATGGATTTAAGGACCCAAGTTGTGCTATAATTACATCATAGTTACAGCGTGGTTAATAATACCCCACAAGCCGTAGGTTGATAGTAGTTGATAAAGTTTGGTGCCAAACCATTATATTTGGCGGGTCATGAACTCACTCTACATGAAACCAAAAGGAATTTTGCAGGACAACGTAATGTCCCGAATAAATGTCAGCGGTAATGCTTGGTGCCTCAAGCGGAGCTCAAAAGAATGTAGCGGTGATGAGTCGCGGTCTCAAGATCATACAAAAAAAACGTCTCATGTAACATACCGTTCACATTCAATCATTTTCGAGAAAATAATAAAAAACTGAATGCACGGCACAGCAGTAGATCATTGGCGAGACCGTCAAGATCAGCTGTGGACTGTTTTCGTCTTTGTCCATGAACTTCATTGTTAATGTGACCATCACCGTAATTTTAATTTTATACATATCTTGATACATGTATCTCCACACATGAAATTACGTACGTGATGTCCAAAAGAAATTCCGTTCTGGATCGAAAGGGTGAAGTGTGATTGCCCACCTTGTAAAAATGTTGCAAGAACTAAAGAACGACTCGCAAATACTGTCACATTCGTAAAATTCAATCGACAGAAGTTTTGACCAAATTACCCATGGCGATGTATATCACTGCAGCCGAATCATTATTTTGATTGACTAGAGCTCAACCAATATCAGTGTCGTGGCGGTTAAGGACATTCATTTGCTGAAAAGATAGTGCAACAGATAGCTCGTATCAAGGCTTAGCATTGAGTAACAAGCCTGAGTTGAGAGTAGCAGCTTTCATTACGCGTTCCTGTTCTACTTTCTTGCTATTTTGTCGTGATACTGTTGGTGCAAGTATGTGTCTTCAACGCGTCACTATATCCGGCAGCAGGCTCTCATGAAGCTATATTTTTTGTGAGAATATTTGCCGACAACGACATGATTTAAATGTCTCCAAATTATTACCGTAATTCAGCGGAGGAAGTGAGCTCGTCATTCGTTTTGAATGAATCTGTTATGAAGAACGCTTTCATATCACTAAATGCAAAAAAGCGAAAGTGCTATCCACAAAGCCCAACAGATCCTGTATAGTTTTTATGAGGATCCCACAATATTGTGATGAAAAATCCACACATGTCACCCCCCCCGGATAGGGAAGTGGGTCATGTAACTGACTTAGTATCCGGAGCCAAATAGAGCTTCACACGGCTATAACCCTTGCGAAGGGAACAGTATATTGATGCTTTCTTCCAAGCAAAATACGAAGCGAGTTTGGCGAATCAAAGTAACTTTGTACACTAGGCGCCGGCATTCTATATCAGAAAGGCTAACGGTAAGAGGGGTGCTGAGCATGCTTGCAATCGGCTGAACACTGCCACGATTCCGGCGTAAACGTCAATGCCTAGAACTGTATGTTGCAGAATAGCTTGATCGGCCGCATTTTGCTCAGTGTCCTCGACCCAGCTGATAAAGACTATCAACTGCTAATAAGGGACAGCGATATTACTCTTAGGGCAGTTATCACTCCGAGCGGGATACGCTGAAATGATTGATTATACCACAGGGACTGTGTAATGCACCAACAATGTTCAATCGTCAAATGACACAGCTGTTTAGGCCAGATCGTGAAAAATTCACAAAAGTATCTCAGCGATAGATATTCCCATAGATATGCGGAGACCAGGAAGTCGAATGTGGGGACCCACATGAAACACCTGCGAGTAGTGCTCGAGTGTATGCGCTACAGTTGGTACACTGACGCCTTGATCAGTATTTGTTCTGCGCCAGTTATCACCCCTCTCGTTGGGAGAAGAACTTCAATTGCATCCAATACGCCTGGAAAAGAATTCCAAACGCACCCAATACGCCTGGCGACCCTTCGAGACAATTTGACGTGCCGAAAAAGTTAATGTCGTTTGTAGGTACTAATCACTGATTGATCGTCCCGAGTGTTGTAAAAAACCTCAAGCGTGCCCCGAATGTGGTTCTTTCAGATCAAGACCGGCTAACTTATAACGTCTGTGACTCCTCGGCCATTGCCATGAGCTTTACTTCGGGCAATTTCGACGGGCGTATCAGCACAAACATGCTGAAGTCTCACCAGACGGAAGTTGCCGAAAGAATCACCCTGTCAATGACAAAGGAATTTCTATGTCTTTGTAAAGCTAAGGATGCACTTGCTTGGTCTGTGATCGATACCGATCATGCGTCGTTGTTTCCCGCGACGTAGTCACCACAACTCTCATAGAGCATGACAAAAGAATTAACTTTTGCCAAATTTACCATCAAGGTAAGTCATGAGCGTTTTGGCTTGATTTGGTGGAGGATGCACTTTCACATTGCCCCAACAATGATTTGTCAAGTATCAAAACGGTGATGTCTCGAAACTGGGCGGCACGTACACTCAACGGATAAGTCACGATGTGCATTTGGTACTGAAATGCCCATAAAATTTTGAATATTAGATACCAATTTGACAGAGCGGATGATGGCACACCGGCAGCGCTATTCCTTATCGCAAGTTTACTACTGATCCACATGACACTCTGCAGGTAGGGAGGTCTCGTGATAAGGGACTTAAATGTAGAATACGGTATGAGGCACACGATACCCCTTTGATCGGAACAATCAAAGGAGAGAAGAGTGAACGCTATATATAGTCAGCCTTAAATGGGTAAGCACGTATGTGTAGAGGTCAAAACGCGACATAAGCCCTGGACAGTGACGGCGACACTTTTAGCTCGTCTACTACTTTAGGCAGAGAGTTAACAGCTCGTTAGCATGAAATACCTTGATCCATCAAAAGACGCGTCCGATGCGATCAGTATTTTGGTATTTGTGGACTGCTTGAGCGAGCTGGCTCATTTCGCTGTTGTCAGCGGTTACGGGAACGGCGCAAAGACGGTCAAGTTTTTCGTCGATAGAGTGCTTGCCAGCATGGCCTTCGGATCGTCATTGTATCGGGTAGAACTTTGCGCTTTGCAGCAAAGTTTAAACAATATTTAAAGGTGCTAGGCACCAGATTGGGATGTCAACCGCTGACCATCGATTTGCGGATGTTCAGACAGAACGCGTTGTGTTATATTTCATCCGGAGCAATATCGCGGACAGAACATGCTCCTACGGATCAACTTTTTTTACGGAATTGATTTGTGGTGCCATAGACATCGCAATAAAGAGGCCTTCTGAAACCATATCACCACCCACCCTTATGAGCCAGTCGGATATGAAGATCGCTGTTGTAGACTGAGCAGCATCTTCACCATTTTCTGTAGCTAAGCTACCGTCAGCTTTAAAGCAGTGGCGAGCCGCTGGGGGTACACATTGCAATGACGAGCTCTCAAAACAAAGCCAAACCCTGACTCATATTTATGTCGGACGCACACCGACATGGTCCGCGATAGTCAGCTTGTCGCCATGACCAAGAGCTGATCGGGATACTCAGCCTTCGCCGTCATTGCTCGATGATCAAGGGGCGGCTCTCAAACAATCGGGCAAGAGGTAGGTCTGCAGGTACACCACGGCAATAATCAGAATCTAGTGAAGCGAATGTTACACCATCACTTATGGGAGCTTTAGGTTCCACTTCGGTTAGATGCCTTCATCATTAAGAAATGGTGTTTCTTTGGCCTCTATCGCTTCTAAAAAGAAGCATATTTGCTCGTCGCAGAGTGCTTTCTATCAACGGCTGGGGCCCAACATTGCGATGGGTTAGACCCTTCATTGGTCCGTTGCATCTGTCAGATAGAGACAAGCGGGGCTGTAAGAGCATGAGATGAACGTAATTCGCTGTGATCCATTACGTGCGCGAAGAGAATTCTTGATTCAAATATGCTTCTGAGATATGATTTTGTAGCGTGCAAAGAGTGGAGTATAACTGTATGCGCAGTAGGCGCTTCATGAGCGTAAACTTCTGCATAATGTCCAAAAGGAAATGTAAATTTAATACATCTTGGTGGAGGGGGTGTAAATGGGTATGTACTGTAGTATTGTGTATGTACTAATTATTGTGTATGTACTAAGTATTGTGTATGAAGTGTAGTATTGCGGGATATGACGAGAAACGACACCTCTTTTTAGGAGTCGTGTAAGCCATGTCAAGCACGTGCTGTAGGGTTTTATTCATTACACTCTAACCCCTCTCTACCCGGCCCGGGGATTGAACCCTGGACCTCCCAGTTCTGAAGTGAGTGGCGTACCACTGCACCGTAATGAAGTGTAGTATTGTGGATGGACTGTTGTATTGTGTTCGTACATCATACACTTTCGAATTAGTTGTCACAGTAAAACGCATGTAAATTGCATAGATCCAGAATCAAGTCATCCATAACCCTCAAATGAGGTGAAACATCAATACGAGACTTATGTCACGATTAGAAAGACTTCAGTATCTGCCTGCAGCTTTAGATCATGTTAGGTATAGCAGACCCTCAAAACCCGCTACCAAAACCAACGAGAACTAACGTAAGAACAATAATGGCCCTAAAAGCCTCAATTCTTCAGCACAAAAGAACACATGTTGAGTCTTGGTGTACTGATGTTTACAATTTTTCGCTTCGAGCTCGACGTTGCTTTGCCGCAGCTACAGCTTTTGCAAGACTTTGGTCAAATGGCGGAGAGCACACACCTTCCTCCGTGATAATTCCGGTAAGGTAGCGATGAGGCGTGATATCAAATGCTGGATTGAACACGGGACAGCCCTCAGGTGCAATACGCACACCACGAATGCAAGCAACTTCGTCGGCACTGCGCTCTTCAATAGGAATGTCCTTACCATCTACGAAGGAGAGGTCAATAGTGCTCGTGGGTACACATGCATATACCGGAATTTTATTCTCGTGAGCAACTACTGCTAGTTTGTATGTGCCAATCTTGTTCACAACGTCTCCATTGGCTGCGACTCGATCAGCACCAAACAGCACCACATCAACCTTTCCAGTCAGCATAAGATAACCTGCAGCGTTATCAGCAATGAGATGCATTGGCACACCTTCACGCATAAGCTCCCAAGCAGATAGTCGTGCACCTTGTAAACGTGGACGAGTTTCATCTACCCAAACGTGAACATTTTTGCCTTGTGCATGACACTCGTAGATAACACCGATAGCTGTACCAATGTCTACTGTTGCCAAGGCGCCGGTGTTGCAATGATGAAGGATATTTGCTCCAGTTGGTACAATAGCTGCTCCAAACTCACTTAGTCTCTTATTAATAGCCACATCCTCCTCAGCCAGTGCTTGTGCTACTAGAAGTGTATACTCTATCAAGTCGGCGACGCTCCCTTCAGTGTGCATTCTGTCACGTAGCTTCTTAACCACGCATTCTGTCGCCCACATTAAATTAACAGCTGTAGGTCGTGCGGCATCGATCATTGTCTTAGCTTGTTCAACGACTTTCATCAACTCTTCCTTGGTTGAGTGTTCGATAGCTGGGAAATTCTTGGCAGCGATCGCAAGGCCAAACGCACCAGCTGCACCAATAGCTGGAGCACCACGTACTACCATGTCTTTGATGGCATGTGTGACATCTGCTACCGTTTCGCAGCGCATAAGAACGAGCTCTGTGGGTAATTTACGCTGGTCGATGAGCTGCAGACCACCATTCGTCCACAGTACGGAGGGCATACGCTTAGTAGCCATTGTCGAAATTAGACTTACTTATGATTGGTCAAGGGTGTCGTCTTTTACGATCTTAAAGTGATGCAGTGGACGGATGAACTCAATGCGCTGCTAAATCAATGCGTTTTTGCTTGCAGCTACGATTTTAAAGTATCGTGTGATCTCTTTTGCCAACAGGTTGCTAAGCTGCGACTATGGCATGGCAATGAGGCATTGGAATTAACAGCAAATCAATGTCAAGAGCAGTGGATGGTCTTAAATCCAGTGGAAGAAGACGAAGATGGTGAAGAGAGTAGAAATGAGGAGATAGAAAAAGATAAGAGCGTTAACGACACTCAAAATGAAGGCCCTCGACTGGAGCTATTGTTGTCGGATGCTGAATTGGATGAGCTTTTGATGGCTCTTCCACGTCATGAAGAACAGGATCGAGTTCTTCCTTCTTCAGCTTCTGATGTGAAGGATAGAAAATCAAGCGAAATGCAATGGGTGTTGGCGTTTTTAACAGATCCGGACGCGATCGATACTGTGGACATTGAAGCCAAATATTTTATTGGGAGTCGTGAACATCACAACGACGACAACTATCAGAATTTTCTGCAGGATCTTCACAAAGCAAATTTACTGGTGCCTCCTCCACCAATCACTGCGGTTGATCGACGTTGTAATCAACAGCTTCATTCCAACGTTGTTGTTGCTCAAAATGAGAATCAAGATGGCGGTGAAGACCAAGAAGAATGGGAATGCACTCGTCATGCCATAAAACACCTAAAGAAATTCTGCTAACTTATCGGTTAGTCGCACAGATGTAACACAAAATCCAAAAAAAAATACTTCACATTGTCTTTGAAAACCGCTCATAGCTTTTTGGTCGCGTTTCTTTTATTGCTATTTCGCCTTCCCCATAGCATTATGCTTGACTACTTGATTGCACATATGATAAAGAGGATTTATATACAATGACAGTTGTTGCCTTACCTGTTTGTTTCCATGAAAGCACCGGCGACGACATGCGTAAACGACTGATTAGTAGTGTTGAAATGTTGTGTGCATCCCATCTATAAGCCAGCGACGTTAAATTGTCAAGCGAGAAACGCAATCAGAAGATAACCTTGATAAGTTTCGCATAAGCACAACATACGTACGCAAGCCCGAAAACCCTGAAGCATTGTGATTCTAACATCAGAACGAGCATAGACATCTACTTTTTTAGAATAGAACAGGCTAGCTTGCGTCGTGCAGTGCTTCGTACTAATGCATTGGATGCGCATCATCAAAGCGCGGTAAGGGTGTACAAAACAATACGTGTGTTGAGTTGACCATGACTTCACAAAAATAAATGGTCACACGAATCCGTTTCTGTTATGGATGCAGCTATAGAATGCGCTGCCAACACGCTGTGAGCTACATCAAGGCCCAAAAGTAAGCTTTTATAATCAACTGATAAAAAAATCGGGCGTAAAGAATGTAGTAATGGAGAAGAGGGTCTCTTATCAAATAGCTTGACTAAAAGCAGAGATTTATCGACATGTGGCTCTACGCACTCCCCAGGTGATTGACGCCTTGCTTAGCGTTTATGTAGATAGCCGTCAGCGCAATAAAAAGCTGCTCAGATGAGTGAGGTCACGATATTCAAATCACCAAGACCTAGAGGTCAAGTTTGAACTTCGAGATGTGATGACGCTGATTTGATTCGCGAACTTGTAAAACAACAAATCATCATAAGAAATCAAAGCTATTACTATCGGGTGTACATTAGCTTATGAATGTTAGACGATCTCATAAATTTGTTATCAAGAAAAAAATTTCAAGAAAGTAACGAGGATCTTTACAAGATGCTTAACCGCACCACACTTATGCATTGCTGATTAATCGCCTGACAACCGATTTCTAAAGAGCTCGAGTACAAATCCAAGAAAAAAGAATCACGTCAGTCACATTGCTGCAGAATCTTGATGACTGTACATTATCCAACGATCAACAGTAGTTTTCGTTACTGAAATGCGTTGTCCAAGGGTGTGTGTAATATTGTCGTTTCTTAAGCAAAGCATAAAATGATGCAGACAGTATGGTAGTGCAAGCAGTCAGTGATGATATGGCAGTAGATCTCAAAGTGACTGGAAGGAGATCGAACGAATGATTTCTTGCGATTTCTCAAATTTTGTGAACATTTGAGAATAGATTAACAGTTTTCGTCAGTGGTGAAAGGGTGCGGCGTTTTGTAAGTATGATGGGATCCTTAAGGACAATGCCCATGCTTATTGTCAACATGGGTGCCGAGATGATTTACGTATTGGCTCAGCGACTCAAAGCGCAGAACATTCCTCGAGACAAGAGCTCGAAAGGTACGAATTAGACCCATTTTGGTAGTATTGGTTTCTCAAACTAGTCTATTCGTAGTGCTCGAGGATATTATCAAAACTATGCACAACGAAACTTTTATGTCCGAGACCTTCAAACCACATCGCATGTATTCAAATGGATCCACTCGACAGATCTTTGATCGCATCGCACACTCATCAATTATGCGTCTTAATACAAACAGCATGGATAAGGTGAAAGCAGAACCAATTGAATCCGTTTCGTATATTGACATTTCGACGGGTTATTTTGAATACTGCAGCTCTACGATCTCATGCGCATGGGTTTCAAATATCAAGTGTTGTCTTGTTCCTCAGCTGACGAGTTACTTCAGGTGGTCATGAATCATCTTCACAATACAAAAGATCTAATTGACTCCGCTCCAATTCAGCAGCAAGTGGATCAAACCATTGAGCTCTTTTTAACTCATTTTGGCAATATGAAACCTGCTGATTTCTACGTGCTGAAACAACTTCTCTGTCGATTTTTTCAAGACACACGAATTAAAGTTTCCCTCTTCTTACAAAATAACATTCAAAGCACAGATGGCACACTAGCTATCCATCATAAAGGGTATACAGCTTCGGGTGGTAAGGTTCCCGGTATTATTCGTTATTTTGATGCGCTTAATCGTGTCGAGGAAGAAGAAACATTTGCTATATCCAGTGCTGAGGGTTCCATTGAGGCGCCAAATGGCTCGGTGCTTGAACGCAATCAGATAAATACTGAGCTCGGCTTCAACATGTACGAAGCTGACTCGAAAGACGGGAAAAAAGGTATCACACATTCAACTCACCAGAGTCTTGCCAGCAACAAGATCTGCAGTTCTACTTCATTAGGTGCAAAGCAATCGGAGTCAAAGGTTCATCATAAAACTTTCAAAGCCACTGCAACGGATGGTTTTAATTTGCTCGCTGATTTGGTGGGAACGTCGTCGAGTGAGGAAAAAGGTGACAATAAAGCACTGCGTATCAATCTCTTTCCCGATGACTCAAGTTACAGCGAAGATGAGAAACGCGTGCCGACCATTTGGATTGACGCAGCCAGTGACCGCAAACACGCAACAGATGCGATCTTGCGAGAGTTCAAACTTGACGGAGATGCCAAGCACGATAGCAAACAAGACGATGATCTTCTTGACCTAATGGACTCAACTAATTAGATTTGAAATTTAACTTTTATGAAGACAATATGTTAACTATCTTTGTAGTTGTCGAAAGCTATGATTTTCAAGGAAGTTTAATATCGCCGTAGTGTGATTAAGACTGACACAATCAAGTTGTCTTTGAAGAGAAAACATTCGGAAACCTAAAGAAAAGTAAAGCTACAGGTCTAATTGAAATCGAGGCAAGCAATAGCAATTCCAATACACACTCTTTTGAGTATTGAAGGCTATCAAGAAGCCAAAATATGTTGCTACTTTGCTTAATTTCGTACTATGTACTATGACTAGGATATGTGTTTGCATAAAATGTAGATAATGGTGTTTCCGGCCCACACTACCGTATACATTTTTGACTATAGAAGTGGAGTCCACTTGACTCGTCACAATTATACCAGACCTTACTGGAATTTGTCGATTTGGAATGCAGATCATTACGTATTCACCAAAACCAAATAATTTTATTTGCTGATAGAAGCTACCACAAATACAAAGGCTGCATACAACTCAAGACTCTTAAATTAATTCCTGCAGCTCAATTTGGAATTTAAAATATTTATCCCGAACCTAATTTGTAGATGTTTTACTCTCAGCCACGAATGGATTGATCGTTTTCACCGATGCTTCCTCTTGTTCATTTATTTCTCGCTATCGCACATCAACGCACATCAACCACTTGCCTACTTGCTAGCATCAACGTCATGGAATAAAGCTTACTTGAAAAATTTCAATGCGAAAATTTAGCTTTTAAAGATATTACCCTGCTTACTCTTCGAATCAACTTTACTAGTCGTGAAGCTTTGCATGCGCTTCAGATGATTATAGATCGTTTTGAGGTAACAGTGATGTACATCTTCGTTCAACTTCAAGCCAGAAACGTCCAACATACTTGTTGACGTTTAACTCCTAGCGCAGGTGTCAGGACGCTGAGAAAACTATCCCCTTAAATTCAAGCATGCGTAAAATGATTCAGTCGATAGTTGTGCTTCAACGCCACAATTTCCATAACTTGCCTCAGATAGAACCCAATCAATTCTTTTCATCGCGGTGTTGGGAACTACGAAGAACGAATCTTTATTTATTGTGTTTAGCAATGCGATTAAGATTCATAGCGCGTGTATTTGTGTTGTGCTCTTCTCTTTATGTACAACTGAGATTCGCGTGTGTATGGACGTCCGATTTCTGCTGATTCAAGGTCACGCGTCAATCTTTGAGGACACTGTCCGCTTATACCGTTGAACCCTCTCTGTGTTATAATTGTCCATCGATCACCACAGTTTCACGGTTGTATAGCAGTTGTGGATTTAAATTGTTTCGTACAATGAGAGAGGCCTGACAACTGATTGCTTGGACGTTATTAGTAGTAAGTAATCAGTATGGCTGCTGTTCATACTCACATGTAAAAGTCTACCAGCCCGATAATGACTGAAACATGATTAAAAATCAGGGACAGCTTTCTCATGCACCAGTACATTATAAAACAGGACATGTTCCTAAGCACTTGCGTGCAGTAGGATCTATCTGCCACTTCTCTTGACCTTTGAGTCTCAAAGTCTAGAATTTCATGGTCTATGCAATTCCCACAACGTCGAATTTTCCTGAGGGTTCTGTATGCCGCGAAGCCAAAAATTTTCTAAAATAATCAGGGCTGATTTCATGATGAGTCATTGTTAATGTGACCATCACCGTAATTTCAATTTTATACATTTCTTGATATCTCCACACATAAAATTACGTTAACATTATTTAGTATCTTGACTGTCATTGAAAGATGCTGTCAATCGCTGAAGACACATACTTGCATCGACAGTATCACGACAAAACAGCAAGAAAGTAGAACAGGAACGTGTAATGAATGCTGCTTACTCTCAGCTCAGGCTTGATACTCAATGCTAAGCCTTGAAACGAGCTATCTGTTGCACTATCTTTTCAGCAAATGAATGTCCTTAACCACCACGACACTGGATTTGGTTGAGCTCTAGTCAATCGAAATAATGATTCGGCTGCAGTGATATACCTCGCCATGGGTAATATGGTCAAAACATTTGTCGACTAAATTTTTTTTTGTGACAGTATTTATGAGTCGTTCTCTAGTTCTTGCAACATTTTTACAAGTTGGGCAATCGCACTTCACCCTTTCGAGCCAGAGAGAGATCTCTTTTGGACATTACACCGTCATGGTCGTATTCAGGATAGCCCTCATCCACATATTCTATCCTACCTCTTGAGGGTTTTTTCGGGACCAGATTCACTAAGCAAGCACATGTCCGGCGATAATATTAATGGTAGCTACCATCTCTTCTGCTGGCCACAATTCCGGCATATATAAATTTTAGCAAGTTAAACGTCGTAAATGATCTCTCACTTCAAGACCCGACCTGAGTCAAAGTATCCTCGTGCTTGCAACAACAATCCAAGCATTTAAGAAATTCAGTCTCCACATACTTTTGGAAAAAGAAAAGTCATGTCATTCGCTCAATCTTCATTGAAAATATGATTGCAACGCTTCATTCCAAAAGTCAACGGGTTGAGCCTGCGGGGCTTGGCAATCCGAAAGCAATGATTGCACGCAAAGCCTCATGTGCTGCAATGAATTTGTGTTTGCAACCAGTGAAGCCTTCGAGATTTTTGTGTTTGGGCTACCAATTCTCGGCACAATAACGAGCCAATGTTGATTATCGTTCCGGTGGCAAAGGATGGCGAAAATGGTATGAAAGGTTGTTGCTGACAGCCGAAAAATACAACCTTCACCAAAATTGATATGATTAATCGGCAATTCTATGACTTCCGCCGCTTACTTTTTGCAGGTTTTGCACTTGCTTTGGCGCGCTCCTTAGCCTTGCGCTTGTTTCTCTTCTCTGGTTCCTCCACATGCATAACGCTGGCATCAAGTCCGACTTGTGTACTGAGAACATCAAGCCAAAGCAATTGCTTGTCACTAAGTCGATCGCGAGGACCTTTAACTTCCACGACTTTTACGTGCGCAGCAAAACTTTCGGTCTTCATTAGATCGAGAACGTGCTGTAGCGGTTGCAGTTCGAGGTCGTCTCCTGATACCGTCATGTCAGACCGCTCCGCGTTTTGCGAATCAGCCGCTGCGGGAATCTTCTCGTTCAAGTTTAGCTCCTCATCCATACCACAAAAGGCGAAAATGTTCAAACAGCCATGGCTATCAGTTGGCCATGAAATCACAACATCTTTGCAAAGCTCAATTCGCATCAGAAATAAGTCTGGCAATCCATTTTGAGCCTGATGGTACTCTTTTGAAGTAGTCATGTAGCGCAGTAAGTTGACAAGCTGCGGTCGCCCTATCGCTATGATTGCGAGCAAATAAAACTGCAATGATGGTACGTCATCATTCGGCCAACGAACAAAGCGACTCACCTTTCCAAATTCCGCATTCCATCTTGTCACAAACAGTACCAATAATTCTTCGATTGTCCAGCCATTCGCAACTAGATCTAATCGACGCTCGATAAGATCTCGCCGAGTCTCATAGAAAATGCCCGCATATCCAAAATCTAGAGGTGCTGACTGGAACGGTGTCTGGAATACATCCGGAACATTTGCATATAGAATGTCCCACATCAAGATGCCAAACAAATTTCCAAATATCAAACCTTCCGAATGGACACCGTACCATCCTCCGACACTCCACATCTCTTCAACCTCTCCATCGACAGTTTCGCGGTGATGATCCCGATAATATTGCAAAACAACTTGTTCGACAGTGCACGGTTCATCATCGTATCCCACAAATCGCGACTTTTCTCCCGTTTGACGATTGAGGGGACGACCTACAATGTGGTTCTTTCGGTATTCGTGCATCTTAGGGCGTATAGTATTGTCATCATCGTCTTTATCAACGTCAATGCTTGGAGAAAGGTTGCTATTTCCAGTACTTTGCGGAATACGATTATCAGCAGAATTTAACTCGGCTCGTTTTCGTTCGTCTTGACGATCCAAGCGACATCGACGTCTTTCAAGTGTAATTCGATCTGCCGCCAGAACAAGCGGATCCGCCAGTGCATTCGCGCACGCGTCTCGAGCTTGATCGATACATTTTAAATGCTCTAGGTTCATAGCAAGACGATCCCACCAATACCCGCGTTTCCGATCGAGGAATGGCGCAGCCAGCAAGTCGTTTAGTAACAAGGTAGCAATTTGGTATTTTCGCATTTTTTCATACAGATCCACCGCAATATGCAATGTTCGAACCAAGTGATAACCGGCATTGCACTTAGAGAAGAAGATGGGAATTCCTGACGTTCTATATGCGGCTGCTTTCATCCACTTCATATAAGCCTGCAAACAGCTTCTAGTTGCAAGTACAAAGTCATCCAATGACTGTAACTTTTCAATGTCGTTGTAAAAAAGCTCCCAGCTGTGCATTTGCCAGCTCTCAGCGGCACCTTTTTCCAATTTATCATGTAGTATACAATCGTCTTCTGTTTCTGTCGACTCTTCGTCTTCGTAGATAACAGTCAATAGCCGCTGAAACGCTAGAAATGCTGGCGGAACGTCTGATAACACCCACTTGAGTTCCAAATCGGGTTCTCTAAATTCTTTGTCAGGTGTCACTATCTGTAAACACTGTTCAATAACATTCATAATTCGGTGCAGTTGATATGCCACTTCATAACTTGCGTAAGCCTCAGCCGAAGGAAATATACGATGATAGTGAAGAGTTTTAGCCGTGAAGTCATCATTGCTAGGTATGTGATAGTCTGGATAGGCCACCTTTTTGAAAAAGACCATCAGTCCAGGCCATTGCGTCGGCTCGTATCTCAACTTATGTGTGGCCAAGGCAATAAGCTGCCCCGTGTCTACTACCTGCGAAGGCATTGATGACATTGGGTTATAAGGAGGTGTAGAGACAAAGTAGAAGAGGCGATGTATCCGCATCATTAAATCCCGTATGGCAGCTGTCATTCTCAGCACCATCACGTCAGAGCTCTCTTTACCAATAAGTGGATATGACTTAACCCATATCTGCTGCATGAGCTCCGCTACGGGAATCCTAGACCCATTAATACGTCGTTGGGTTTTTACTACCTTTTTAACGGCAGCCATGAGGTCTGTCTTGGGGATATGTTTTTTATCACCCGTCATTTTGAAATACAGCGCAGCCAATTCAGATGCTGTAGCACATCTTTTGATGGCACCTAACGCGGCATCCACAATATCTGACTCTCGGCTTGGTGACTGATGCTTAGCCATAGATGTGATGGGAAATTGTTGCAGAAATCCGGCATCAATTAATCCATGCACCAAATCCTGAACCTTCCTATTATTAATTGGCTGTTCACTTTGGTCAAAATAGCGAAAGAGAGAAATGGTCTTAAACCAAGGGCCCTGACGCTGCAATAAACGCGCATAGACTTGCTGTTCAAATGGCTTGAAGTTGGACAAGAATTGCGTTACAATAGCAATTTCTTCCATCGAAAAAAGCTCGCGAAAATCCTCACGCTTAATTATAATCGTGGTTAGCACCAGATTTAAGTGTCGAGCGTATGCATCTTCCCATGGCGATGCAACTTCTTCAGGAACATGCTCTTCATTGAACTCCGCATCCATTGCAAGAGCAATTTTAGCTCCTAGTCACTAATTTGCCGCTCTCTTCTGAGTGTCATATGTTGCTACATCATTATGTCTCTCAACTCTTAACACGCAACTTTCCTTCCAAAGAGCTGGCTTCGTGGCAAATCAAGAATCGGAGGACCACACATCGATCAGAATTGAGGGGGAAGGGAGACATGGCTACTCCGCAGGATGGCGCTATCACGTCAGCGTCCAAGTCAGCAAAGTCCAGACGCCAGAGTAATGGCAACGGCAATCTGACCAACTACCAGCGCAAAGTCATTTGTGAGTTCTACCGTAAGAGTGGTGGTGTTATGTCGCAAAAGGACTTGGCGCAATGGACGAAGCACGAGTTTGGGCTAAAGAAGACGCCAGCACAGTCAACAATTTCGGGCATTCTCCGTCGTCAGCATGAGTTTATTAACATGAGCTCACTTGAGCTTGGGATTAAAAAGAGACGTGTGGTGCAGCATCCACAGCTTGACTCTGCATTGGCCAATTGGGTCATTCAAATGGCAGGACGTGGGCAAACTGTACAGGGCGATTTAACTAAGGACAAGGCAAAGGAGTTTGCACATATGCTTGGTATTCCAGAGAATGAACAACCCGAGTTTTCGAATGGCTGGCTACACTCTTTTCAGCTGCGTCACAACTTCAGCTTTCGCAAATTTAACGCCGAGCAGCATCAACAACAGGCGACCCCGGACGGCTCAAGACGCCAGGGAGCTAAAGTATTGTACTGGACCGACATAGACGCCCTTATGGCTGAGACAGATAAGTACGAACCTAAAGATGTTTTTGCTGTGGATGAAACGCCGGTGCTTTACACGATGCCGCCTATCCAGAATGCCCTGGAAGAAGGAAGACTACGATGCAAGAAACGTTTCATCGTTTCGCTTGCAACCAATGCGGATGGATCGGAAAAGCTTCAGCCATTGTTTGTATCGCACTATGAACACCCGAAGTGTTTTCGTAAGAAAACAGCTGAGCAGCATGGTCTACACTACTTTTGGAACAACAAGGCATGGATGACAGGCGTTATTTTCTCTCGTTGGCTCCAGCGATTAGACTTTGCCATGGCTAATCAAAAGCGTCGCATTTTGCTTTTGATCAATGACATGCCATCGCATGTGGTAGCGCATTTGGACCTCAAAAACGTTGTGATTTTTATCCTCGATTCGGCTATCCATCAGATGCTAAATCCTATCACGTCTCGTGTCGTCACGACATTTAAAAAGCGCTTCCGGCGCTATCATTTGCGCCACGCGATTGACAAATCAGAGACGAATAAAAGGACCATGTTTGATGTTGACGTATTACAAGCTATGAAGTGGGGTGCAGCTAGCTGGGACGAGATTACAACCGAGACGATTAAGCGTGCTTGGATCCCTACGCAATTAGTGCGCAACCGGGTGATATTAGACGAACATGTGCTCTTGCAAGAAGAAGAAGAGGTGCTTTTAGATACGGAATTAGAGCACTTAATGCTTTTTTTACGACTGCCAAACCCTGTACCCATAATGGAGTATCTAAATGATGAGACGATGTCAGACTACCCTGTGCACGAAGACAAATTTGACGTCGTGTCTAATGTTTGTGAAGTACCAGAGGATGAGGTGGACGAATCTTTTGAAGAAAGCCCGGGGCGCTCATTGTCATTACAGGAGAAATTGAAAGCATTTCGCGACGTACTTCACGTTCTAAAAGACCGAAGCGATGCAGATGACACTGCACTTAATGCCATTCGACGCGTACAAGATGCGATTCGATTGGAAGGCCAAAAGGAAGCAATGGGTGCCTTAAGCGCCAGCGGCGATGTCAAGAACTTATTCGATTTAGATACAGAGATAGGTAGCGATAGTCATCATTCGGGTGCTGCTCATGTGATGACATCTCTTGAAGTCGATACCCAGCAGCACATGGATGCGACATCAATATTGGATTCTTCCGAGAGTGCTCTATCAGCTGCTTCAGCTTCCCTAGCTGAGGGTGCTGGTGACCACACAAGCTCGATGCTGAGCGGACCAACGGATGACGAACGTCAACATGAAAGTTTCCATGCTGTCATTTAGGCTCTTTTTCGGTTTGGACAAGATAAGATCGCAATCCAATTGATTCATGTGCAGTATGTATAAAGCTCGGATGCCTGTTCTTAATACCATCTTGGTTGTAGTAGTTTCTGATCAAAGACAAGATTGACAAGTTCGTGGAGTCATCGACAAAGACATATGTGTATAGTGAGATCAAAACCTAATGTCAACCTAAAGAACATTGACATAGCGTTTTATGTTCGTTGTAGCTATTCAAATTACGAGTAAAATAAATTGACTAATGTTAACTTCCTGTAAATTTATAGGCGTTCACTTCGTTCATTTCCTCGGCAATACGCTACCTCAGGCCTTGATGACCTTAATTCTGCACGAGTCACCTCGACTTTTGAGTCTTGATAAAAAGCGGACTGGCATCGTAACAAAAGCAAGCATTTAGAACTTAAAGAAATGTGTGCAAATCCCGATAGTAATTTTTATATCTTGAATGACGAAAAGTTTGAGCATCCAACATGTTTTTACCGAATCAAAGGTCAGCAAAGGTAAGTGCCAGCACTAACTTTTACTTACAGACGCGACTCTTGCTCAGAGCACGAAAGCTGTGCTTCGCATCCAAAATGTGAAATTCATCGCATCTTCAAGGAGGGACAGTAAGTACGGAAAGCTTCGGTGCAAATCGCATCTCTATGGATATCCTCCAAAAAGGTGGTAGCTGCTATAATTTCGGATAGATCGGATAGAGGGTCAGCTGCCATTATGGCTGGAAGCGTCTCAACTATCTGGCCTCTCTCCACTTAATTCCGTCGTCATTGGCAGGTGGAAAATAGTGTTCAGCGCACACAGTGGTGCTAATATTTGCTCTACAGAGTTATCATGCATAGGTGTGTATTTTTGCGCGCTGCTAATAAGCTTGTTACCAGCTAGCGCAACACACCGGTATCTGTTTGGAGAATTGTCGAATTTATGGTTGCCTGACCCAGAGAACGATTTTTGCCACCTCCTCCCTAAATCGTTTTGACACAGCCTTTCTGAGAGAGGCACCTGTGCCTCCACAGAAGTTTGGTTGACACGTCCAACGACGTATCTCATCAGCACACTTTCAGCTTGGAAAATTACCGAGGGGTGCAATGGGTCAATTATCACTGCACACCTTGTGGTACTTAAGGATCCCACTACGCGAGGCACACTGCTGAAACATTTGTGGCGAAGACACCACGATAGCAATCAAGCGGCACGATGGTAGTCATAGATGTAAGTATCAAGCCCACACCCTCTACGTGTCCTATTTTATCTCAGCTGGTTGTAGCCAATGGTCGACCAAAAACACATTGCGAGAAAATGTAGGACCGTTCTGTACCTACTAGAAGAAACTGGCTCTATCAAATCTCGTGATATCATGGTCAACGTTATTCATCACTCAAGGGACTAAATTTCTTTGAAAGGAGGGACTCGCTAAAATCGCTGCTGGCTGGCATCAATGTCCCTATTTTGGATGAGATAAAACCCTTATAGCTTCCAAAGCGTCATGCAATAACGTACGACGTGAAACTCTTGCAATAGAATGAGATACTGGCAAAACCAAACACAGTGCGATATTCGTACGACTCACATCAAGACCACTTCTCAAAATGTCGAAGGCTAACTAAAGCCTTCTTGTAACGGTTGAAGACTTTGACAACTTGGAATGCTGTTTTGTCTTGGAGCCTGAACTCAAAATACTATCTCATCCAAAGTATTGCGTTGGTAGAACGCCTTGAGCCTTGAATCGACTAATAGTTGAAGACTTAATGCGCTACGATCTTAACTCTTGATGAGGCTGAGAAAAGTCATGAATGTACCACTGCTAAGAAGTATTTTTAGTGCGAATGTGAAGCTATCACAGCTTCAGTCAAACACGCGGGGTTGTCCGAAATAGTAAGCCACGTTATTGCTAAGGGTCTCACGCAAAGCTCGGGGGATATAAGCGGTAGGGACCCGCGGTATTCAGGTAGGCCGGGACTTAGCTACATTATGCCACGAAGTATCAAGACGAATAGCTTTTCTGCTAGCCAGACTTTCTTTATATTTGCTATCAGGACCGATACGAAGACCTCGGGTATAGCTGTCTGTAGAGCTCGATCTCGTTGAGACGGGTTCGAATGGCTTGGTGCCGCGGTTTCCAGGGCAAACGTCAGAGAAGACAGGCGGCTGTAAGCCGCGAGTTGCAGGACATTACATTGTTGGAAACCATCCTAATTTACTGTGATGCTACTGCATATACTAGGTTAGCAACCCCGCGTGACACTCAGATTGTGCGGAGCAGTGCAGCTTCACATGTTTGTAGCGAGCAGTTGTATTTCTTGATACCGTTATCAAGCACATCCTTGAGAATGATAGCCCCAACTTACTGAGGCCTTATGAGCGTAAGATTTATTCCATGATTTGTGCACGGGAATCGAAAGACGATGATACCACAAGTCAATACGAATAGTCATGGGAAGTTTCTCAGCTCATTTTCTTTATGGATGGGTCCGTACTCGAGAATAACTGTGTATGAATGTAATATTTATTCAAAGATTCTAAGCATCGCATTTATCAATCGGTGAGGAAATTCACGACGTAGTGATCGGGGACCGGCCACAGTTATTAGCCCTGGGCTGGATAAGTAATCGCGGAGTGGTCTTGTTTCAAAATCAATGTTTACGTCATTAGTCGATGGTCCTCACCAAGGCGATAGTCGGAATGTAACATACTTTCTTTTTTTTCCAAAGCACGGGGGTGAGTCAGTGAACTACGTCGACATCTGGGTCAGAGAGAATAAAAGCATGTGGAGATTTATGTGTGCATTCAAGATGCTTGATGCAACCTTTATTCCGGCACAAACGTCGATTCTTGTCAATATTGTGCTGCAAAATAGCAAGGCCGGTTGCACCTTGTTTAAATTCTATCGACCTGGCCAAGCAGGATGCTTCGTGAGCGGTTAATTATGGACTGTTTAGCCTACCAGCGACATTTAATAATCAGTTTGATAGCTGTAGAGACCGCAAGGTGAAAACTTACCCACCTATTTCGGCTAGAAAGTCATGAGAGCGCTGAAGACCAATTTTTTTGCAGAGAATGGCAGCAAGATCTATTTAATGGGGTTATCAGGCAAGCGCCCAGAAGAAACTCACCTATAAACAGACCGCATTTACGATCACACTTATATTGTAACGGGGTTACATGAGAGTGACCCGTCACTCTCCCAAGGGAGCTGTGGTGTG